TTTTTTTTTAATCTACATTAAAAAAAAAAATTGTACATTTTATGCGTAATACGTGTTATAAATTAAAGAGATTATGAAAGTTTCATTTTTACTTAAAGTATGTAACTATTATAATCTCTTTAATTTATAACACGTATTACGCATAAAATGTACATTTTTTTTTAATGTAGATTTTAAAAAAAAAACCCGAGCCGGCTCGGCCCGCTAAGGCTCTGGCCTAAAGCTCGGGCCGAGCCTCATTTTTTTTGGCCTGGCCCGGCTCGGCTCGGTCCAAAAAAAGCTCGGGCTCGGCCCGAGCTTTTTTTTCCCGGCTCGTTGCCACCGCTAACGTTACTTAGCGGTTAAGGGCCCGAGCTTTTTTTTCCCGGCTCGTTGCCACCGCTAACGTTACTTAGCAGTTACCTTAACCGCAGAGATACATCTTGCTTTGACAAAAAGATTGCACAAAGATATTGATTTGTGTCACATAAGTGAAATGCCGAATTTTTTTCTTGATAACTTAATTGGTCAGGACTTCTTGTCTCTTAAAAAAATCCACCCTATCTATTCGATAGTTCTCGAATATCTCCACAGGTTGGTGGAAACCACACACAGATGCTAGACATTTTATTTAATAAGTTATACTATAAGATTTGACAGGCCTTCGAAAAAGGGGCTGCCAATGATCAAATTGCTGGGCTTACATATCTCCAATTTTTTGAGATTATTCAAGCACTTAGAATCTGGAAATAAAAATAAAAAAAAGGCCTAGTGATACTCTGCAGTCCGTACTACCTCAAACACACCGAACCAATGACAATGGAGTACCTATAAAAGACTAATATCTACATTACTTGGAATTATTGTATTACTGAAAATGGCAGAACTCGTAGCTGTAAACAGAACTATCTAAACTTAATTTCCAATGCATTCTTAATGGGAAAACCCTTTTGGCTCTAGCTAGAAAAACACCTAAAAATCCAGGGGAAAACCAACATGCATGTGACTAAAATCTTGTCCATGGCTGCAAAATTACAACACAGAAGTAATGTATAAATACTTACGGTGCAGTTAGGCATTTCATGTTGGTGGATTTAATTATATGATCAAGAAATTCTCTCTCATATGTTATTGTAGTATTGACGGCAACCTGCAAAAAGAAAGAAAGGACAATAAAAGAAAGAAGAAAGGCAATTAATAGAAAGAAGATGAGTAACATTCCGAAACAAGTACTTGTTTCAACCAAGGTAAGTACATCAGCAATCTAACGAAAAATACTTTCAACTTAAAGTATTATTAAACATAAGGGATTAAAACATTAAGGTCAATTTAGGGAAATAGGACCCTGCTTAGTCCCCTATGGAAAGTTTACCTAGAATCAAACCACTCACATTATCAGGATTGAGTGCTTTCGCAAAATAAATAACTTCTTGTATGACCAGGTATCCAATAGCAGTTGTATAAAGAGGCGCTATGACTGTTCCATACACAAGATAGTTTGAGACGTTCTGATTTCATACTTGAAATCTTATTTGGAGCTTTGTTTGATAACTTACTGAGGAAGGGAAGGCTGCTTGGTAGTAAATAAATCCAGCAACTATTTGTATTAAGCAGGTTTGAAAAAGGATCTTAGAGTGTCTAGGGTTGGCCAGGAGGGTCTCTTACAGTCTTACTATAACTAAATTACACTGTTTAGAGACACTGCAAATCTTTCAGTATGGCCATGGATAATAAAAACTTCAGCATGCTGATCAGCACAAAAAATGAATAACACAAAGGATAACAGTACCTTGTTTTCCCACTCAAATTCTGCCCACATGGTTCTAAAAGCAGCATCACTACACAAGGCAGGAGAAATGTAGTCCATGATATCGATATGGTTATCATTGAAGACGATAACAGTCCTCTCAAGCACATTGGAAGTCTCATAGACAATGTTGCCAAATATGACTCCGGTCTCAGTAGAGGAAACCTTAATATTTGCTTTTATTTGCTTGCTTGACTGAGGTGCTAGAGTGGTAGTTCTGTGGACGCTCTACAAGTTTAAGGTCACCCATCGTAGCCAGCTCCAAACACAAATTCTGAAGGGTCTCCTTAGTTCTATTGATAACTGTAACATCTAGGACAATATCGTACTGATGTACCGTCACATATGCTTCAGCATAGACTGGATCACTAAATCCTGTGAGTTGAATAATGCGATTTAGCTCATTTGCATCATCAGCATCCTTAATGAATTCCCCAGTAGTGCGTTTCAAATCATCTTGGACCTCATCTTCCAACTCCAGCTGGCTCATGCCCTGGAGAAGGAGAAGATATGTGAGGACATAATTAAAAATTTCCATGGACAGACTCGGGCAACTACTAGAATTTTTCCTTCATAACATTTGATGTGGACAATCTATCAAACAATGAATAACATTAGTTGAGTCAACCATCAATTTTATGTGAGCTTCCTCACCTAAGAACATAGCTACAGAATACAATCGCACACAGACACAGACTGACGTGCGCACGGACACTCAGAAAAGCAAGTTTGTACAATCGTTCAATTTTGCCATAACATTCTCCATAACTCTGCGTAAATAACCCACGCAGACAGACACAAGTCATCGAGGAGAATATGACGTGCAAAGCCATAACTCTCCTGAAAAGGCAAGCTATGTTGTTCTCATAGCAATCTTAAAGCACAACTATAAAACTCTTTTTTTCAATATAAATGAAATATAGGGATCATTAATATTCATCTCTTGCGTAAGGGTCACAAAACGAGTATTCTAACCTTCCTGCTCTTCAAATGGTAGAAGTCAATAAGGTCATCAGGCTGAGAATGAGAAACCTGAGCTTTTGCTTTAATTTCCTCAATTTCACGTAGCTGTTTATCTGAAAGCATTTTAACAAAACTCTCACGGCAAGACTTCAACCAAATTTTTCTGTCAGCATCCCCTGTGTTACACAGCAACCTTATGCAAAGAATGATCCTGTCATAAGAATCATTATCAATTGGATGAGGGAGTGTTGGCTGTTTGTTACAGCTTTGTAACAGCAGAAATCGAACCACATCAGAGAAGAGAAGAACTGGACAGTAAAAACCGAGAGACGGGGGAAAAACAGGGGAAATCTGGGAAGAAACTGGAAGAAGAAAAACAGAGTTGCTGGGAAGACAGAGAAGAGAGCAAAAACGTGTAGCACCTTACTTCATTAGATTGTAGTACATCAGACCTTTTACATTA